GTGTCGTTAATACGTCTAAACCGAGTATATATATATATATATATCCGCCGTCTACGACAAGGAGTCATCTGTCTTTGGCGTCCTTTGTGTTCTCAACTCCCTTTGGGGAGTCCATGTCACCATTTGTAGTTCAAGGAGAATTCAGTGTCACTGGAAAGTTCAACTGAAACTGCCATTTGCAATGCACCAGAGAGCCTATGACATTTTACATGGTAATTCAGAACAGTGCATATGGAGTTCAGAGAATAGATAATAACGTGTTTATATTGCTTCATTATGTTTGGTCTCAACATTTAACTTAAATTATAAATTATCTGACAATTAGTAGATATCATTGTGATATGTTGTGAAGACTGATGGTAGTTGATCCAGAATACGTATAAATAGATAGTGCCACCATTCCAAACAGTTCTCAAAGTTCTATACGTATATACAGTATAGATCCTGTATGTATACACAGTGGAGACCCTAAATGTCTACACAGTGGATACCCTATATATGTACACAGTGGAGACCCTAAATGTGTACACAGTGGAGACCCTATATGTGTACACAGTGGAGACCATATATGTATACACAGTGGAGACCCTAAATGTGTACACAGTGGAGACCCTAAATGTGTACACAGTGGAGACCTTAAATGTGTACACAGTGGAGACCCTAAATGTGTACACAGTGGAGACCCTGTATGTGTACACAGTGGAGACCCTGTATGTGTACACAGTGGAGACCCTATATGTATACACCGTGGAGACCCTAAATGTGTACACAGTGGAGACCCTAAATGTGTACACAGTGGAGACCCTATATGTATACACAGTATAGACCCTGTATGTATACACAGTGGAGACCCTAAATGTGTACACAGTGGAGACCCTGTATGTGTACACAGTGGAGACCTTATATGTGTACACATTGGAGACCCTGTATGTATACACAGTGGAGACCCTAAATGTGTACATAGTGGTGACCCTAAAGGTGTACACAGTGGAGACCTATATGCATACACAGTGGAGACCATATATGTATACACAGTAGAGACCTCATACCTATTGACAGTGGAGACCCTATATGTATACACAGTGGAAACTCTATATGTATACACAGTAGAGACCACATACCTATTCACAGTGGAGACCCTATATGTATACACAGTAGAGACCACATAGCTATACACAGTGGAGACCCTATATGTATACACAGTGGAAACTCTATATGTATACACAGTAGAGACAACATAGCTATACACAGTGGAGACTCTATATGTATACACAGTGGATACCCTATATGTATACACAGTAGAGACCACATAGCTATACACAGTGGAGACCCTATACGTATACACAGTAGAGACCACATACCTATTCACAGTGGAGACCATATATGTATACACAGTAGAGACCACATAGCTATACACAGTGGAGATCACACACCTATACATGGTGGAAACCCTATATGTATACACAGTGGAAACTCTATATGTATAAACAGTAAACACGCTATACCTATACACAGTGGAGACCACATACGTATACACAGTGGACACCACATACGTATACACAGTGGAGACTTTATATGTACATACAGTGGAGACCACATACCTATACACAGTGGAGACCATATACCTATATATCTGTATACAGTGGAGACCATATACCTATACACAGTGGAGACCATATACAGTGGAGACCATATACCTATACACAGTGGAGACCATATACAGTGGAGACCATATATCTATACACAGTGGAGACCATATACCTATACACAGTGGAGACCATATACCTATACACAATGGAGACCCTTTATGTGTACACCGTGGATACCATATATGCATACACAGTGGAGACTATATGTATATCTTGTGGATACCCCATACTTGTACACGGTGGAGACCATATACCTATCCATGGAGTTCCTACATTTGTACACTGTGGAGATCCTATATCTGTACACTGTGGAGACCCTATATCTGTACACCATGGAGACCCTATATCTGTACACCATGGAGACCCTATATCTGTACACCATGGAGACCCTATATCTGTACACCATGGAGACCCTATATCTGTACACCATGGAGACCCTATATCTGTACACCATGGAGACCCTATATCTGTACACCATGGAGACCCTATATCTGTACACACCATGGAGACCCTATATCTGTACACCATGGAGACCCTATATCTGTACACCATGGAGACCCTATATCTGTACACCATGGATCTGTACACCATGGAGACCCTATATCTGTACCCTACTGACCCTATATCTGTGTACACCATGGAGACCCTATATCTGTACACCCTATGGAGACCCTATATCTGTACACTGTGAGACCCCGCATACCCCATATATCTGTACACCATGGAGACCCTATATCTGTACACCATGGAGACCCTATATCTGTACACCATGGAGACCCTATATCTGTACACCATGAAGACCCTATATCTGTACACCATGAAGACCCTATATCTGTACACCATGAAGACCCTATATCTGTACACCATGGAGACCCTATATCTGTATCTGTACAACTATGAGACCCTACATCTGTACACCATGGATCTGACACCCTATATCTGTACACCATGGAGACCCTATATCTGTACACCATGAAGACCCTATATCTGTACACCATGGACCCTATATCTGTACACCCTATATCTGTACACCATGGAGACCCTATATCTGTACACCATGGAGACCCTATATCTGTATATCACTGTACACCATGAAGACTGGAGACCCTATATCTGTACACCATGAAGAGACTATATCTGTACACACCCTATATTAAGTACACTGTGTACACCCTACATCTGTACACCATGGGGACCCTATATCTGTACACCATGGCCCGTCTACACACTAAATCACAGAGACACCCATACTCAATCATATATCACACCGTTAAGACACTACAGCTTTACACCACAGAGACTCTACATAACATATATCACGGAGACCCTTTATCTTCACCGTGTGGATGGATATACCACGACGTCGACGTAAACAACTACACGACATCGCCTACAGGTGATTTAAAGGAAGGAAAATCACGTCGGGTTGTGATGCATAATTTAAACAAGCATATGCAAATAGACCATGTTTATTCAACAGATTACAGCACGTGCAACACGTGCCAAGGTCAGACAATTTAGAGCGAGTCTCGCCTAACGGTTTCGCGTCGCTTCGCATCGCTGACGCCTCGAGCGTCGAAAGTTCATATCGCCCCGAGGAGGGCTCTGACCCCTACTTACGAACATTATTCCCAAGCATTATCACATGGAATTATACCCATGTATAAAATGCATCGCCAGTACAGCCATTTGTACACACGGTTACTCTCACAGCGAGACAATTAGACAATTACAAACACTTAGTCTCTGGGTGTAATGGGAACGTAGTAATAGGTTCAAGCATTGCCGAGCAAAACACAGGGTGTTGTGTGGAGATAAGCCCCGGGCCTGCTGTAAGTAGCTCCAGGATGCTCTGCAAGGATGCTGAGACAGTTTTATGAATATGATATCTCGCCATAATCATCAGGGCATAGCTTGCCTCAAGCTCGACGCTGATTGCCAACGGTAATTACGACCGTGTGCTACCAGTTACAGCCGCATCACTTGAGACGTAGGTATTTATTACAAACACACTGAGCCAAGATGAAGATGCTGAGGTAGAACGCTCGACGTATATGTACGCGACTTAACATTTACAAATGATGCTCAAATCTGTTTTGTTTCGCGGGGTTTTGTTTAATTAATTTTTTTTGGAAATAGAGAATATACAAATTGGTTTCGTCTTTTAACACATTCTGAATATCGTGTGATAATGATGTGAAAATAACATTACATTTTCTAATCGATATTTCCTACCGAGCGAAACCTAGTTTTTATATTAAATATTCATTTGCCGCACTCACATTAATTAATATTACCGGTTGTCTATGATAGAAATTCTGACACGACGGAAGCTCGGTTTCCATTATGCATGTATATAATGATGAAGTGATTGGTCAAACATTCGATCTAGGGTATCACCTTTCGGAGAATTTCCAGTATGCAATTAATGGAACATTTTGGTTTTCGGATCCTCAACTCTGAGCGAATGCATTTATAATTTATTCTACTGATTGTGGTATCGACAAATTGACGAAAATATTATTTTAGTATGGAAGAGATCAATATTGAAAGTGGCCATGATACTTTTTGTCTAATAGCTAGCAATATAGATGAATTGAGAGACAAGTAATATATTATTTCAAATCTATACCGCAGCCGTGCATGCATATTGTGTTATGTTTACTACAGGCAAAAGCTGCATCATGTTTGATTGTTGAAATACATATAACAAACAAATACCCCCAAAGCGAAAATAAGTGAGTTTAGTTTTACGCCGCACTCAGCAATATTCCAGTTATATGGCGGCGGTCTGTAACTAATCGAGTCTCGATCAGACAATCCAGGGATCAACAGCATGAGCATCGATCTACGCAATTGGGATACAATGACATGTGTCAACCATGTCAGCGAGTCAGACCACCCAATCCCGTTAGTGGCCTCTTACAACAAGTCACTGAAGATCAATTCTAACCCCAGACCTACACACCCACACCCCAAAGCACCCCCATCCCCCAACACCCCAAAATTAAAACGTAACAAACAAACACCACCCCCACCCCTAAAAAAACAATAACAGGGCATGACGAGTCGACGGGAATGTAGTTGACACGGGCACCACAGATATTCTTTGGACGTTATCTTTTCAGTGTTTCCACTACCGTTTTCATCCTAGTAACGATATGATCATGTTTGTTTCGTAACATATGTTATTTTTGTAATATAGTTGTCCGACTTCCATTCTTGTGGAAGTCGCGGTGGCTGAGCGGTTTAGGCGGCTGTCTTTGTGTGCTGGCGATTAGGTGCCTGACTCTGAGGGTGCGGGGTCGAATCCCGGATGGGACTCAACCCAAAAAGTATTAGAATCTGTACTTTACTGAAAAAGTGTAATCCCAAATGTAACATATGTTACATTTGATGACTTTCTAAATGGCATTGTGTAATCATGGGTGTGTTAAAGCCCATTCTCAAGTTTGTACTTTCTTTGATTAACTGAAAGGCGTTCAAACCATCTCATCAGATCTGTAGGCACATGTATAGACGTATTGTGAGATGGGTGACAATTACACCATTACACTTGTATACCAGTTGGGTTGAAAGTAAACGTGTTTATCAAAGTCCACTCAACGGCATTTGGCATGTTCACTGGTTGACCGCAGTTTACAAGACACAACCATGAACGTCAGGTAGACATCGATTACAAATTGAAACTAGTCCAGTAATACTGGCAAAAGGGGTAGAACAAATTGCAATAAAAACAAGTTTTGCTGAAACAAGTAAGTAAGTTGTGTACTTTTAACATATCAAAAGTATAGAAAAGTATCATGAACGATTTTGTTCGAAAAGGTATTTTTTTGTAATGTCAAATTGCGTACATCTGATACGGAAATACACATGGCCGCTGTTACTCACTGTGTTTCTGTAGATTGCATTACGTAAACAAGATGGCCGATGAGCGTATTGTCGCTGGCGGCTCAACGCAATCAGGGTAATTGTTTTTACACATTTACAAGTTAACTGATATCATTAATGTCTAATATATACATAAGTTACATATACTATCACTCAAGGCCGAGAATCATTGACGCAATGGGTACTGAACGATAGTTCACTTCGAGCCGTTGACGCCCTTCAACGTTCATGATACACAGTAGAAATGTCACTGAAATAGGGTAAATACGGTAAATACTTATATAAATGTTTATTTTCATACTGTCTGGTTGTCATAGAACATATACTTAAATTGAAATGATAGTTGGAAATCCTTCGGTAACGGATTCACTGATCACCTGCTGTTATATATATTAATAAACTAGTAAGTTGTAAAGAGAATTACTAGTCTTGTTACTTGCATTTATGTTAAATACGGTAAATTTGATGTTTTTAATTACAAATCATCTATATAATTAATACGTTGTGCACTAAAAAATTAATTTATGTGATAAATGCCCTTTACGTGACATATCTCTGTGTAGTGTACTCATTCAATCGCTCTTGGGACGAACTGACATGCACGTGCGTTTTGGTGGGAAAAATAAAATTTTCGTTCACTATACATTCCTATACTTTTGATATCTTAAAATACATACTATGAGGATTACAAAACAGAAGAGTTAGCTTTTATTGCAATTTGTTCTAGGTTGAGCTAAATTTGAGCTAGGATGACTGGACTAAACTGGTATTAAACGATGAGAACCACGAAGGTGAGATGTAGGCTAAGACATGTGGCCTTCTTCGTGCATGTGAGATTGTAAGCTAAAACTTCGAGTGTTTAGCCTGTTTAACTCCTGATTAATTCATGATATTCCGGTGAACTGTGCACTTTCTCTTACCCCTGTGACATGACTATATTATTCATGTTAATATGTTTTATATTCATATCATCATTAGCATTTGTAGAGCCATAGTAATAATAGTACCATAGCGTTCTAAAAGTAATGATGATAACCGCTCAACTTTTCCGGATTTGTTCCGATTGAAACTGGAAAAAACCCCGTATCAAATAGCACATTAACAATTAGTAATCTCTCCAAACTATGCATCGCTGTATTTCAGATTATCTGCCGTTTAGAAGATAAGGTTTAGTTAATAGTGATGGCTATCTGGGTTTACTACCAATGGAGCTCCTTGATTATAATCTGATGGCAAAGGCTGCAGCTTAATCTACCAGCGGGACTTTAGGTCAACTTATTCCTGAGTTTAGCACAATAGTAAGAATGTATTTTAACAATTATTCCAAGTTACATGGCACTATGGTATTATCTGTATTATATCTGGTGCGTCTGTATGGGGTAATCGTGATATGTCGAAATTCCCGCTCACCGAGCCCTATGTTAATTAATCCTATCTATTAGTGATTAGGATACTTTGGCCAGTCACGATGTAGGGGTAATAAGTAACCTGTGAAATTATATCCATAAAATTTTAACTCCTACTTTGAAGATGTTAAAAGGTCAACACAACAAGCTCTTCTGGCATACACAATGAAGTACACTAAAATCAACTTACAAATACCATTAAAATCCATTAGCATTACCTGCCATTCATCAGTCCTCGCATTAGCATTATCTGTTATACACCAGTCTTTGAACTCACTGTTACATAGCATTATCTGTTATACACGAGTCTTTGAACTCACTGTTACATAGCATTATCTGTTATACACCAGTCTTTGTGCTCACTGTTACATAGCATTATCTGTTATACACCAGTCTTTGTACTCACTGTTACATAGCATTATCTGTTATACACCAGTCTTTGTACTCACTGTCACATAGCATTATCTGTTATACATCAGTCTTTGTACTCACTGTTACATAGCATTATCTGTTATACACCAGTCGTTGTGCTCACTGTCACATAGCATTATCTGTTATACACCAGTCTTTGTACTCACTGTCACATAGCATTATCTGTTATACATCAGTCTTTGTACTCACTGTTACATAGCATTATCTGTTATACACCAGTCTTTGTACATTATCTGTTATACATAGCACTCACTATCTAGCATTATATACACCAGTCTTTTTGTACTCACTGTTACATAGCATTATCTGTTATACACCAGTCTTTGTACTCACTGTTACATAGCATTATCTGTTATACACCAGTCTTTGTACTCACTGTTACATAGCATTATCTGTTATACACCAGTCTTTGTGCTCACTGTCACATAGCATTATCTGTTATACATCAGTCTTTGTACTCACTGTTACATAGCATTATCTGTTATACACCAGTCTTTGTACTCACTGTTACATAGCATTATCTGTTATACACCAGTCTTTGTACTCACTGTCACATAGCATTATCTGTTATACATCAGTCTTTGTACTCACTGTTACATAGCATTATCTGTTATACATCAGTCTTTGTGCTCACTGTTACATAACATTATCTGTTATACATCAGTCTTTGTACTCACTGCCACATAGCATTATCTGTTATACATCAGTCTTTGTACTCACTGCCACATAGCATTATCTGTTATACATCAGTCTTTGTACTCACTGTCACATAACATTATCTGTTATACATCAGTCTTTGTGCTCACCCTTGTATAGGATTCTATGTAATACATCAGGATTGTGTACAGTTTATATGTAATTTTTGAATGTCCATTTCGACGTGGCCTTCTCTAAGTATGCATGTTTGTTTGACCCCTTTCTAGGTCCTGGTGACCTTCCTCTGGTCCCCTCTGACCCAGCCCCTGCGACATAGACCCTAGTTGTCTCTGCTATACGAAGTTTATACTCTCAGATACATAGCATCCCCAGTATGTCAGTGCCTCGGGGAACTGACAACCTCAGTTATAGTGCCCCCCCTCACCCCCTTTCAAAGCCTCATCCCCCTCCATTTGCGTCCTCGGTATCCCCACACTGTCTGCAAGCCGAAACTTGCTGGTACAGTATTCTCTGTATTCCATGCATCTGTGTAATCTAGTCTGTGTCTTAGTACGGTATAGATACTCTCTCTGATACAATACACTCAGTAATCTGGCATTCTCTGCATTGAAAACCCCTGAGTAATACGAGAGTCACTGAAATCCATTCTCGTTGGGTATTTATCCTGTTATTTATTTATGTTCTTTTTGAAAATAGCACTTGTAGAAAAATCATTAAACGGTTCAACGAAAGAAAAACGACAAAGTTTAATGTTTCAACTAGACGACAGATTTGCCAAACTTTAACCCAAAAGACATACAATCAAACATTATCAGGCCTAAAGCAAAGTTTGTATTGGAATAAATTCTGAAATTCTTGGAATAGTTGACCGGAGTATTTGCTAGGTGTTACCGTGTCTACAAGATTGTCGGCAGAACAACGTAGAACTGTCAACCTCTAGCCTGATATTAAATCGGAGTAAATATTTTCATACGGCCTTGGACAGATAATCATAGCCGTTGTTTTGTAGGGCACTGTTCAGGTGTTTCTTTGCGCTTGACAACTGAACACGCAATCTGTATGTGCAGGGATACAGCGCGGGACTAGGGCAGGATGCATGAATACTAGGACAGGTGCAGTGATACTGAGACCAATGATAGAGGATACTAGGACAGGATGCATGAATACTAGGACAGGTGCAGGGATACTGAGACAATTCTAGAGGATACCAGGACAGGATGCATGAATACTAGGACAGGTGCAGTGATACTGAGGCAATGATAGAGGATACTAGGACAGGATGCATGAATACTAGGACAGGTGCAGTGATACTGAGACAATGATAGAGGATACCAGGACAGGATGCATGAATACTAGGACAGGTGCAGTGATACTGAGACAATGATAGAGGATACCAGGACAGGATGCATGGATACTAGGACAGATGCAGTGATACTGAGACAATGATAGATACTAGGACAGGATGCATGGATACTAGGACAGGTGCAGTGATACTGAGACAATGATAGAGGATACTGCAGGACAGGATGCATGGATACTACGACAGGTGCAGTGATACTAGGCAATGAGACCAGGATGGATGCATGGATACCAGGATACCAGGACAGGATGCATGGATACTAGGACAGGTGCAGTGATACTGAGGCAATGATAGAGGATACCAGGACAGGATGCATGAATACTAGGACAGGTGCAGGGATACTGAGACAATGATAGAGGATACCAGGACAGGATGCATGGATACTACGACAGGTGCAGTGATACTGAGACAATGATAGAGGATACCAGGACAGGATGCATGAATACTACGACAGGTGCAGTGATACTGAGACAATGATAGAGGATACTAGGACAGGATGCATGAATACTACGACAGGTGCAGTGATACTGAGACAATGATAGAGGATACCAGGACAGGATGCATGAATACTACGACAGGTGCAGGGATACTGAGACAATGATAGAGGATACTAGGACAGGATGCATGAATACTAGGACAGGTGCAATATACCTGGTACGAGGTGAATAATAACCAAAAAAAGGATGCTAGGACAGGGTACAATAATACTAGGACAGGGTACAATAATACTAGGACAGGGTACAATAATACTGGGACAGGGTGCAATAATACTGGGACAGGTGCAAGGATACTAGGACAGGGTGCAATAATTCTAGGGCAGGGTACAATGATACTGGGACAGGGTGCAATAATACTAGAACAGGGTACAATAATACTAGGAAAGGGTACAATAATACTTGGGCAGGCTACAATAATACTGGGCAGGCTACAATAATACTGGGACAGAGTACAAGGTAATTGGGCAGGTGCAATAATAATTGGACAGGCTACAATAATACTGGGCAGGGTACAATAATACTGGGACAGAGTACAAGGATAATACTCGAGAGGTACAATAATACTGGGACAGGGTGCAATAATACTGGGCAGAGTACAATAATATTAGGACAGGGTGCAAGGATACAAGGACAGGGTACAAAGGACACTTGGACAGGGTACAATACTAGGAGTGGATACAATACTAGGAGTGGGTACAATACTAGGAGTGGATATAATACTAGGAGTGGATACAATACTAGGATAGGACGCAGGAATGTCAGGACAGGATACAGCTATACTAGTACAGGACGCCAGAATGCACTCAAGGACATGATACAGTAGTACTGGGAATGATACAACAACAGTAGGACGGCACAAAGCAGCACTAGGAGTGAATGCAAGGATACTATGACAATAATATTAATATAATAATATAATGGCTCATAAATTCCAGTCATCAAACAAGCTGACTATATAAATTTGTTTTTAAATTTTAAGATCCCCACTATCATATCCTGGGTTGGGCTTAACGTTACACTAGCTCGGGTACCACGGGCAATTGTTAGTCAGAATATCAACACAAACCGCCACCGCATCACAGTCTTCGCGAGCTGATCCTGAAATATGCATGGAAGATAACAGTGACAATGACTCACCATTGTGGGGTAAGTCCTTTAAGTGTCGCTAGCGACGTAGTCCGAGAGTGACACCACCGTCGACGATTTGTTACTACGACACTACGAGAGCGTTAGGATGACGTGTGGCTGTATCACTGTCAGCGGGTTGTGCTTCACACAGAAACAGCGTCAGTCCAGCGCGTGGCAGTGAGGCACTTGGTAGAGCGAACGCTGGGAGTACCTCCAATGCAGGACCCTTGTGCTGTGAGTCACACGGCAAAGCCTGTAGGTTTGCCAGACAAGCACAGGATCAGGCAGCCTATCGATCAAACATCTACCTTCGCTTTACGGACACTCCGTTTAAAGGACATTCTGTCGGACTTATTACTTATTTTACATTTGTTTATCCCAAACCTGGTGAAGAAACCTGGGAATAATTAAAATGTTTCCAGATCAGTGAAGATCCGGGTTAGAATTGATCTTCAGCAACCTATGCTTGTCGTAAGAGGAGACTAACGGGATCGGGTGGTCAGGCTCGCTGACTTGGTTGACACATGTCATCGGTTCCCAAATGCGTAGATCGAGGCTCATGCTGTTGATCACTGGATTGTCTGGTCCATACCCAATTATTTACAGACCGCCGCCATAGCTGGAATATTGCTGAGTGCGGCGTAAAACTCACTCACTCACTCACTTCTTACCATTTTCTTTTACAAAATACGTATACCTCTTTCAGCTCTTTCGGGGACGTATTTGTTTGGGTGACAAATGCTTCCTTTTCGGTTAAGTTGTATTCTTTTGAAGTAGCTGAAGTTTTATACGTTTTACGCCTTATGATATTACCATATTGAACTAAAATGTACACAAAAGAAACTGTTGATAAATTGTCCTAATTTTGTAAAATCATCATTGTTTAAACTAACAAGCAATTTTTTTCTTGTTATGTATTTGTTGGTTGTTTTATCCCACTAAAAAAAATCAAACGTTTGACCAGACAATCCAGTGATTCACATCTTCACGATGGGGTTACGGTTATATGCATTGACCAAGTCAGCGAGCATATCCACCTGTTGCCGTTAGACGCCTCTCGTGACAAGGATAGGTTGCTTAAGACCAGGGCCCCGTTCCTCAAAACGATCGTTGCGCTAAGGTGATCGTAACTCCCATACTTTAACATAGAATTACGACAGTCGTAGCGCTACGATCGCTTTGAGGAACGGGGCCCAGGGCTTATGACTCTATGTTAAAGTATGGGAGCGCTTATGATCGCTTTGTGTCTTCACGGTTTCCGCTACAAAAGCAATAATATTATTTCCCCAAAAAATTTCCCTCACACGACTGTGACGTATGTTTAATGATGAATCCGTAGATTAATGTATATGTGTGGGTACAAACAGGTGTAAGGCATTTCACGCTTTACTGTACCGGTGCACAGGGAACATATGCGCGCATATATTGGGATAACGCAGTAATGTACAATAATTTGATTACTGCTTCATTCTGATTTTGTATATCATCTTCATATTCTTGGGGTGAGGTAATCCAGTAGTTAAAGTGTTTGCGCGTCACGCCGAATTCCCCACATTTTTTAAGCTCATTTTGAATGTCCCTCGTCGTCTTATTGCTGGAATATTGCCAAATAAAAACCCAAATTACTCTCTTACTCATGTTCTTTAACTGCACAAATCTGCATCCATGGGAATATAATACCGGGGGTGAGTAATATTTTATGCCGCTATCAGCAGTTCCGAAGCAACAGCACGGCTGAAATTGACTTCCCAGCTTGTACTCGCATTAGGGGAGTCGACCGGATGTTGCATAATTTTGATTCCTGAAAACCGTCATAAAGAAACTACCCCGCCTATATCCAGAAAGACCTCTTTGATTCCAACACGATAAATATAGTTAAGACGACTGTCCGATTTATCGAAACCAATTGCTAGAACTTAAACATAATTTTCAACAGAATATTTGGCCATTAAGGCAGCGATGCCCCGAACAATGACTTTAACTGTCCAGCAACGAAAGTATCCAACCTTATTTAATTGTGGCTAAGACTGAAACAAACAAGAAAGGGTTAATCGATGGTGATGGATTTGATACAGGTATATTGGTATTCCATGCATCAAAGAGCATCTCGCAACAGGTTAACGCTAAACGTCACGATACCGTTTGTAATTCTTAAGTCAAACTGTATACTTTTATTTTGCAGGTTTATTTGAACAGTTTCGTTGTTTCTTGTCGTGGCTTTGCGCATATAACCGCGAAGATCCGCGTTAGAATTGGTCTTCAGCAATTGGTCTTGGTTTAGACACGACAGCCAATGAGCGAAAATGGCGCCATTGTGTAGAGTTGAGCAAGGAATCCATGTATAATCATTGGTTCGAATCCTAAGATTGTGATTCTCGGTTTCCAAGCACCATCATCATATTATCACTTTTCATTATGGTAGAGTGACACACTATGAATTCATGCAGTCACACAAAAGAAGCGTAAACTCGTAAAAGTGTCTTAACCCCAATCGGTAGCAGTTTGTTTGATCTATTTCGGGAAGGACCCGTGAAGATCCGCGTCAGAACTGATCTTCAGCAACCCATGCTTGTCGTAAGAGGCGACTAACGGGATCGGGTGGTCAGGCTCGCTGACTTGGTTGACCATGTCATTGCATCTCAATTGCGTAGAATGATGCTCTTGATGTTGATCACTGGATTGTGTGGTCCAGATTCGAGTATTTACAGACCGCCGCCATATAGCTGGAATATTGCTGAGTGCGGCGTTAAACAACAAACAAGCACACTTTGCATATCTCGGCTGTTTGAGAAGACGTGAGCTGAAGCGTCCTTGGCCTCAAAATAATGGATTGTTCTATGACATGAATCGGGTTACAATGTCAAGACTACGTAGGACTACGTAGGTATATAGGTATAGACAACGTCATATTGCTATCAAATATATATATACATATATTTTTAATGCTTTCTAAAATATATCTTAGATCATGGTACCTAGTGCCTGATTGTCGGATTAATATAAAATGAGTATGGCTTTACGCTGCTTTTAGCAATATGCCAGTAACATAATACTTAACGGGGGACACAAGAAATGGGCTTCACGTTCTACCAGTGTGGGAAATCGAGTCTTCTGCATGATGAGCGAACGCTTTAACCACTGGGCTACCCCACCCACCTTCTTTAGGCCGCGATGTTCATAGTAGGTTTCATTTCTGTTTATCTGTCTGAAACTCGGGTCGTATTGTGGTTCCTGTTTTGCGTCCTCAGGCCGATTCCCCTCTATGGTATATTTTGTGAAGATATTTCCCCAGTTCAATACTGTTAAATGGGCCGGGGTGGATAGCTCAGCGGTTAAAGCACACGCTTGTCACGCCGGAGGCACGGGTTTGATTCCCAACATGCATGGGTGGATCCAGGAATTTTTGAAAGGGGTGTGTGTGTGTTCGAACCCCTGAACACACTCTGGACACCCCCCACCCCACCTGGATCCGCCAATGAACATGGGTAATTTTGTTCCCAGGAATATTGGTAAAAGCGGCATAAAACCATATTTGTTCACTGATAAGGAGGTCTGTGATTTATTTTGTGACAGGTATTTGGGTAACTTGGGGAAATTCCATTTATTGCTCATTTGATAAATGACGCCACGACGTTGTTCCCCTAGGTGCGGTGTTTGAGGTTTTTGAATCACATATGCTCTGACTGACAATTTGCCTAAGACTATAGTCCAAATTTAGGTTGCATAAAAATTTACTCCATCGAATACTAATATTTAACCATCTCTGATTGATGCCCATTTAGTATACTTCTGTTGTCATTGTTGATCGATCATCCCCGGAGTGCATTGGGGGCGGTGGGGGTAGCCTAGACCGGGATTCGATTCCCCACATGGGTACAATATGTGAAGCCCATTTCTGGGCGTGATATTACTGGAATATTGCTAAAAGCAGTGTAAAGACATAATAACTCGCTCAATCAATCACTCACTCACACTCTCACTACCTCCCTCACTCACTCAGTATGCATTGCTGCCACATCGTCCGTGCAGGACGCTGTCACTAAGGTGAACACACGAGTACCCAGTCATGGAATCGGAAGCTCAAACGTGTTAATTACTGTTGATAGTCTCAAAACCACAGGGTGTGTGGGGTAGCCTAGTAGTTAAAGCGTTCGCTCGTCACTCCAAAGACCGGGTTCTATTCAATATATGGGTACAATGTGTGAAGCCCATTTCTGTTGTTGCTGGATTGTTGCTAAAAGCGGCGTACAACGGAACTCACTCGCTCATCACCACGAACGATGGAGGCCACCGGTGTTTATAATCCTCCTTCTCCAACTCCATCACTGCCGCAGCGTCAGGGGCACAAAGCTTTATTGTGACGCAACAGCTACCTCCTTCACATTGTTGGAAAATATACAAGGTGTCATAGCGTGTAACGACGAAGCACACCGGTAAGGAAACATCAGCGAAAAACTGTTTGAAGAGGCGGTAAAATCCTCATTTATCTGCTTGATTTCTGCCTCTCGTCGTTCTAACTACAGTGAGTGAGTGAGTGAGTGAGTTTAGTTTTACGCCGGTAAAAAATGGCCACTTTTAAATCACCCGATTTCTTTGATGAATTTCATTACTTGTGTACCTGCCCAATTTTGGAAAATGAGAGAAAACAGTTTATTCACAAATAGTTTTACACTGAACAAAAACTTATTTAAAATGGATTTATTTTTTCACTGTCGAAAACTAGGAACTCCAGAAATGTGTAAAACCATTGTTATTGCTTAACGCAAACAACATGTTTAACAATTCAATATTGTACTATGGTATCTGATCTCACTGCTCTGAGGGCGGTCACGCCTAAGACCCGGGTTCGATTCCCCACATGGGTACACTGTGTAAAGCCCATTTCTGCTGCTCCCCGCCGTGATATTGCTGGAATATTATTAAACACAGCGTTAAACCAAATATCACCCACTCACTCTCACTGCTCTGTGAAGTTGTTGATGCATGATGTATATTTGTACATTTATACATTATTGTAAATAATGGTCAGTTCTGTTCAGGGGAACAGGGAACAAAAGATGTTTGTGTGAGAGAGAGAGAGAGAGAGAGAGAGAGAGAGAGAGAGAGAGAGAGAGAGAGAGAGAGAGAGAGAGAGAGAGAGAGAGAGAATCATTTTTATAATGATCTCCTGAAAGATAAATGTGTCGGTTTATAGGGTTGACAATAATCTGAGTATGAATATATGACATGCCTTAAAATATAAACGATATATATTTTCTTTTTTGTGTGAAAATACTCTGTCATATCATGTTTTTATCCTCACGTTCATCTAGTTTGATTAACATTACCCCTGGTGTCGGATTTTATTTCAGGAAATGGTGTAGAATTTCTGTAGGTCGATCTAGTGATGTTTGATAAATCGATATTATTATATACCAATACATTAACAGCTGGCAGCTGACACGTGACAAACACATTCTATTAGTCTAGAGTTACCTCCCTTTACCTACTTCTTGCATGACATTTTCCAACAGTTTCTTCTTTTCATGTGGGCATGCCTTGGACATAACGACTAAAATTAGAAATACCAAAACAAAAAAGAATAGGTTCAATCAGTAAATATGGATACGGTCCCACCGTCTAGCCACAGGAATATACTTTCACCGCATGTGCCAATATCTCTGCCGTGCTCTGTGAGTTGACATTTTGGCAGCTGTCCAAACAACGCTACTGGCTTGAAGGCGACGATTTCAAACAGGATCTGCCTGCGACAATTATTCAAGTAGTGTACTGAATGTTAAGCCCATGGATGCATAGTAATTCTATCCTTTAAAGAGGCAAGTCTAGACAAACGGACAGTACCTGAGGATGTCAGTCTGTTATTTATATTTTATTAGAGATTTTCATTTAAAATATTAATTGATAATTTATTACCTTAGAGACTTGTACAAGTCTACATTATGGCATGCCTTAGCTCTTATCTATAATCCAACATTCATGTCGATAGACGCAAACACATTTTAATAAATGAATATATTTTTATCAATTCCAACCCAAGTTGAAGGTTACGTTTTTATACGGCCTGGATTGTGAAAGGAAAACGTGATGTAATGTAATCTGACAGTCAGCCGATTGTGTGGCGATTACGTAACAATACCGCCTTCTTGTTTAACAGCATTGAATTCCCGGAGATCACATGTTTCTTTGTTCAGGCTCCGCAAAAGGAAAGGCAAAATGTTAGCTAGTCTGTCTCACAGTCCCTGAACCATATTATGTTCCCTACAGACTTGCCTTCCCTGAAATGCTTAAGCCGGAAATGAAGCAAGTCTAGACTTCTCCAGGCTCAGGCGCTGGTCACCGTGGGGCTCCTTTTCAATTTAAATGGGTTTATTTGTTACAATCAATATTATATAAATTCAGAGACTAAGGTTAGTCTAAATGTTAGCATGAATTACATACGCAACGGCAACAATGGTGTTAGACGTCCGCCTAAGTAAAGAGATTTTTCTCCTAACTAGGTCAAACCTCTTTTCCAGGAAATGCTGGCTTCAAGGAAAGCCCGCTTGCAATGCAGAGATATCGACAGGTGTTGGAGTGAGTAGGCTGGGCATTCAAAACTTCTAAATAAAAAGGAATGATTTTTTTAAAAGATTAATTACGATCATGGATGGAAATAGAATGAGCGTATTCGTTTTAATCACCACCGTGAATTTAACAAGCTTTAACGTGTCCATATTTGGAATTCACGTAATGTTAAATTACACGGAGATTTGTATGTTTGGTGTTGTGTTACTTTGAGAAATGACACGAATCACACTGGCTTGCACTATATTCAGAAAACATAATATGTAAGTGAGTGAAGTTAATCTTTGGTACTGCCATGAGCAATGCTGATATTTAGATATAATAATGTGTAGAATAATACAAATTCTATTACCGTGAAGACTATAACACCATGTTTAAGATTCTGATATAATGCTTCTTTATATTTCTTTCACCTCCCAACATGCATACATGCATGCATGCATGCATGCATACATACATACATACATACATACATACATACATACATACATACATACATACACACATACATACATACATACACATACACACACACACAAACACATACATACATACATACATACATACATACATACATACACACACATACACATACATACATACACACACAAACACATACATACACACAAACACATACATACATACACACAAATACATACATACATACACACACAAATACATACATACACACAAACACATACATACACACAAACACATACATACATACACACAAACACATACATACGTACATACATACATATACATACATACACACACATACATACATACACACACAAACACATACATACACACACATACATACACACACACACATACATACACACACATACACATAAATACACACACAAACACATACAGACAGACATGCATACATACATACGTACGTACATACATACACACACACACACACACACACACACACACACACATACATACATACATACATACATACATACATACATACATACATACATACATACATACATACATACATACATACATACATACATACATACACAGGTAGTTTTCAGCAATTGACTAACGGTACATAATACTTTTCCTTGATCTTTGGGGTATTGTACAGACATGGTTAAATTTCTGTCTTCAAAAATAGTGGGAAATGGGTTACAAATTATTCTGAACTCGAGAACATGTGAAATACTGGATTTCAACCATGATAAAACCTGTGTGAAATGATTCGATAAGACATTTAAACAACAAGCTAGCACCAAGGCCAATTGCACCCCTCTTTTGACTAATGCGTTTTCTTAGGATATAAATTGGAATTTAAGCTATGACTGCCAAACTGTAAACAATAGAATCAATTTAACCCTGACGTTCAACCTAAGATTCAGGTATATCGATGATCTGATAACCTTCACTAACTGCCAAATAGCCAATTCCGCTCCACTGATTTACCCAGAACTAGAAATACAAGATACCAGGAAACGACCATATTCATTTTGCTTTATATTTAGAATTATAGATTATCAGAGTGACAACAAACTATACTCAAGACAGTATACCCAGGGTTTTGGTACACTCGGGTGGGCGTTTTCTAGGATTTCGAAAAGTGTAATATGACTCTTTCTGAAAACCCGCTTGATCAAGGTTGCAACATTCAAGACCTTGAAGTATCTCTTCCAAAGGTTTCTTGGTTGCCATGGAGAGGATATTCCAAACTTTTACGCATCAGTAACCAAAGTGATGCCAAATGTATTTCCCTAGTTTTGTTACCATATTATAATGCCATTGATGAGGTATAGACGTTTACCTTCCCCGAGCACTTAAAGGGTCATTTATAAATACATGGATAGGATATGCCATGAGCCTACACTAGTGCGTGATTATGAGCGCTGTATAAATAGCCAAAAAATATATTTGGTCGGAATTGTAGAACTGAGGACGTTTTTAGCAGATGTTTATTATGATGATTGAAATGGTGTTATCGTTTCTATTTTTTAATCATATATTTTACGATTTCATATTCTTAGAAACACATCTTTTCCTGATCATATTTGTGTTAAATTTATCACCATATAGTACATGTATATTAACTTGAAATACTTGCTCGAAAAACTGTAATATATGTGCTTATGCTTTTCTTATATAAACTTATAGAATATTAATTCTATGATCAGATCCTTGCTCAAAACAGTTTTCAGTTTGTGCATTATTTTATTTATTTATTTGACAATATGGCTTGTTTATTCTTTTTATCACATTGATTGTTGATTTATTTCATATCAAAGATTGCTTATTGACTGATTGATTTATTTAAGATTGTAATTATCTAAAGGTATAGATTCTTTATTCATTTAATTTTATAGATTGTTTATCATTAATTATCTATATTGTGGTAACTAGACACTACTTGGTAAAAATATTCAAAATAGACATATTACATTATTATTTACATAATCATTTCTTTCATATTGATGTTTTATTACACTACCAAGCATGAAGCAATATTCTGAATGATCATTGTTTTATAAACGTTTCAATATGTTCATAAGATTTTTTTAACAAAATCACATAAATCGTTTCAACATATTTGTTTTCAAAAAGACTTATAATTTCGAAAGATGTCTTAAATAAATAACCTATAGAATGTAATATAGTGTCAGGATACGCTGTTATGGCATTATCACTATTATATAATCATTTATATACACATCATAATGCACGTCGTCATATGAGCGAAATATTCTCAAGGAAGACGTTAAACCCAATTTCACCTCACCTCACCTCACCTCACACCTCACCTCACCTCACATCAAGTCAGTGTTTGCCCTAAATCCTGAAAAGCTGCAGGTCCTATGGACCCAGAACTATAAAATTTTGTGGGTCCTGATCAGAATGTGTAGGCCCTATATTTTCATATGGAAATAATACTCTTAGTTATTGGGGATGAAAAAGCTGTCGGCCAAAAGGACCTACAGAAAACAAAGGCTGTGGGTCAGAGTGGTTTTCAGTTGACTTCAGGCTTAAGGACCGACGTTAATATCGAACGCTGGATAAAGTCGGAGTTCAAATTGACACTCTTAAGATTACTGATAGGATTTTGTCACTTCTATTTATATAACAACATAAAAAATTAACCTATATCTTCAAATAATCGCTCGTTAAATGTCATGTCAATACTTTTGATACCCTGTATGATATAATACTATATTTAGAAAGCCTCACGATAAACTGATGTTAAGGGCATAAGCATTATAAATATAAATTCATCATATAACTATTACAAATGGTGGCATCATGTATGCATCTAAATACCCACAGATCAGTTGTATATAATAAGTTTTCGGGCAAATATAATTTGTCATATTTAGATCGAAGCACTTTACAGTAAATGATTATGTTTCTATACACTCTGCATTAATTTTATGTGTTTCTGTTTTAAGCAAATAAGTTCAAGAGTAAAATGGGTGAATGAAGAAATAAATAATGAAAAAATACATTTGAAATAATTTTAGATTATAGTTATCAATGGGCAAGAAATAATAGGTGATTGCTCAAATGTTTGGGAGATAAAGTCAAACACACACCAATATTGAAGGCCTATCTAATGAGAATGAATAATGTAACGCAATCTAAACCTTGCAAACGGAAATACTGATATTAATTAATTAATATTTTACTTCCACATTTCAATTTCACATGACAAAACAAACTTGTATATAGAGTACGATCGAGAATACTTGAACAGAAAATCCAATTCTTAACAGGTTTAGTTTACCAAAAGCAAAATATACAAACAAGGTCAATAGTTCAATGTATGCAACTTCCTATTCACAATACATGCAACTTTTCGGTGTAGATAATGGTCTGATAATGGTCTTAGCATCTAGACGGAAAGATAGCACATATTGTAATAAATACGTGATATAGCCTCAGAACTATCGCCCTTATTCATCACAACGTCTTCTAAAATGCAAGTCAAAGAAGCAAGACACACAATTTTTAAAATATCACTTTGCTAGAGGGATGAAGGGAACTGCTAGTATATTAAGCTCATAAACAGTTAAGATTTACATGAAGTAACGAGGGAGTAACACAGACGCTGTTGCATAATATTGAATATATATGCCAGAATTTTACAGTTAAATGGTCCCCAATACTTCAATTCAGGAAACAGCAATAGTTTCAGTTTCCTTAACAAACATCATCTTCATCCAAGATGCATTACACTACAACCTTTGTAATTCATCAGCCATAGCATTACATGTTTCGCTGTACATCACTTGAAAGTCATAGAATAAATCTTATACCAACTAAATATACCCAAAATGCCAGCCTCCACTCTTTCAAATTACTGTTTTCATCCAGTAAAACAAAGGAACTGAAATCCCTTACAAAATTTATAAATAGTATTGCAACACGAGTGTCATAACCTCTCACTGTCATGTTTGTTGTACCCATTATATGTACTGCCATCTTGCACATCATACTGTATTATTATACCTTGTAATTCACTCGGATACCACCTTTGGTGGTCCTATGGAGAATAAAGAATATGAATCTGAGGAAGCCTTAATTGTTCAGTCAGTTCAGATGAGTGTGGGCGCAGCCAAAGCTGTAGGAGATGGAATGGTATTTCCAGTATAACTGACTTCATCTGGACTTGCTCACTGTACCAGACAGACTGGGGTCATCGCGAAGGGAATAATTAGGTGGAAGGATGTTAGCTGATCCAAAGAAATATTTTCCAGTTATAATGATATCATTATATTGTTCTGGTATTTCCAGTATAACTGACTTCATCTGGACTTGCTCACTGTACCAGACAGACTGGGGTCATCGCGAAGGGAATAATTAGGTGGAAGGATGTTAGCTGATCCAAAGAAATATTTTCCAGTTATAATGATATCATTATATTGTTCTGGTATTTCCAGTATAACTGACTTCATCTGGACTTGCTCACTGTACCAGACAGACTGGGGTCATCGCGAAGGCAATAATTAGGTGGAAGGATGTTAGCTGATCCAAAGAAATATGTTCCAGTTACAATGTGTCATTATATTGTTCTGGTATTTCCAGTAGAACTGACTTCATCTGGACTTGCTCACTGTACCAGACAGACTGGGGTCATCGCGAAGGGAATAATTAGGTGGAAGGATGTTAGCTGATCCAAAGAAATATTTTCCAGTTATAATGATATCATTATATTGTTCTGGTATTTCCAGTAGAACTGACTTCATCTGGACTTGCTCACTGTACCAGACAGACTGGGGTCATCGCGAAGGGAATAATTAGGTGGAAGGATGTTAGCTGATCCAAAGAAATATTTTCCAGTTATAATGATATCATTATATTGTTCTGGTATTTCCAGTAGAACTGACTTCATCTGGACTTGCTCACTGTACCAGACAGACTGGGGTCATCGCGAAGGGAATAATTAGGTGGAAGGATGTTAGCTGATCCAAAGAAATATTTCCCAGTTATAATGATATCATTATATTGTTCTGAACATGCAGAAAGAACTACCTGGACAAGGCACATTTACAGTGATCTTCTGATTGCTTTGACTATAACAATTCATGTCCAAGATATTTTTTATGGATTAAACTTCTTTTTTAATTTCTCTCACAACGTTTCGAGACCATTCCAGGTCCCTTCATCAGGTGAACTGATGAAGGAACCATTCAAGGTCCCTTCATCAGTTCACCTGATGAAGGGACCTGGAATGGTCTCGAAACGTTGTGAGAGAAATTAAAAAAGAAGTTTAATCCATAAAAAATATCTTGGACATCAATGTACAACTTCTAAATGCCACTGAAAGACATTATAACAATTCAGTCAACATGTTGACACACTCACAAGTGCTGAATCGGTTACGAAAGTCTTAAACGAAAAATGTCACGTCTTTACTATCTTCTATATGTCGAGGTCTTTCAATAAATACATTGAGATCAGATGGTGTTCAAATTTGGCAAGCCCCAATAAAGTTTAACAGAATTGAAATCATTTCTGGATGTATTGATATTACCTTCGATGTGTAGGGTTTGTTCCAGTTACAAAAACAATTAAGCAAGGGAGATAATTTTTACAGCCCGAAGAATGTGAGAACGAGATGTGAAAAGATTGCTAACTGAAATGCCAATTTTATTATACCCAACTTTGATAAGAAATTGAGGTGTGACATATATGCAAGAAATACAGTTTTTCAAGCATAGAAATGAAAGCACAATACAAGACCGAGAATAGGTGATATTTCATGTGCTAGCAGAAAGTGAAAACACAGTCCACATCACAGGAAGAACTACTTGATTCTGTACAAATGTGTGATCATTTCAAACAATATTTGCTTGCAATTGGAAGTCAGTCACTGATAAGAACAGATCTTGGTTCTATGAAAGGGGTTTACAGATACAAGATCAGTGAGGACAGTTTGCAGATCAGTAGAATTTGTGGAGGTATTTGACTTTCGGAAAGAATTTTTGAATGGCTTACAAGTCTATGATACATAGTCATTTCAATGCATCGTTTTCGGTAGGGAAATCTGTCTACCAGTTCATATTTCGTATGGAGCAACAATGGATCAGGTATGCAATATTTTTCATGACAATTACCAATCCAAATCTCCAGTGAATGCTCACCCTTAGAATATCCCCTTTAACAATTCCAAGGTTGAAATTCATTCAAGTAATAAACAGGAGTTTGTGAGGTGTAGAAATGGTTTCAGATTTTCACAATTGTAAAGAGGGCAACACCCATGAGGTAGGTAGGCTTCTGTGTGTCTGTTCATGCGTGTGCTTTTATGTGTGTCTGTGTGCCTGTGTCACCCAACAGTCACCCGATAGAGTGAGGAAATAGAATGCGAACCCCCACCCACCACTATGACTGTTCTGTGAATTACTGAAAATTCATTGAACTGTAAATGTGTCATGTAACTTTCGGGCTTTGTCGCTTGTTCTTTGTGTGTACGTGGGTTGAAGTTTTTGAGGGGCATTAAATACAGCACAAGAGCTTTACAGATTGAACTCTTTTGAGGACCATAAAATACCTGAAGTCATCCTACATTAAAATATAGTGAAGAAGGTTAAAATATACTTTTTCAACGCAATGAAATATGACAATCTCATGCATCTTTGGGATTGCATGTACAGTGACGTAAGGGGGTGTAGATGTGAATTGTATCTCTGAACAGAAACATAATTGATCGGTATTGCATCCATCCATCCATCAATCCACGCACGCACAGACAGACAGACATGCATACATTTTAATGACACCTACACCGGGTATGGTGTTGTCTGCATGCTCGACATTGGGACGGACCGGATTCAAACCTACCATCAGAGATAGTGTCCAAGTCCGCGAATTGCGGGACCTGACACATCTGAGCCTAATGTGGTCCCTTTAACTACAGAAAACACATATTCATATAATAGTTCTAACTAATGGATGCAGATATATAAGCTCATATAAGACATAGTGAATAAAATATACCCATAAATATAATGGTGAAAGTATTTTTTCTTCATTTAAGATTTCGGCCGGTGGGGTAGCCTAGTGGTTAAAGCGTTCGCTCGTCACGCCGAAGACCCGGTTCAGTTCCCCACATGGGTACAATGTGTGAAGCCCATTTCTGGTGTCCCCCGCCGTGATGTTGCTGGCATATTGCTAAAAGCGGCGTAAAACCAGACTCACTCATTTAAGATTTCAGTTCAATTTTAGTTTTCATAGTTAACAGGTAGTCTAAGTGTTTTCAGTGAGGGAGTGAGTGAGTGAGTGAGTTTTAATATTTCCTCCCACGCAAAAAGATATGTTCATAGATGTTACGAGACATCCATCTGATAAGACATAAAGGTTATATATGTTTCCTACACAACAAACTCCATAAGTCAAAATATCGCTAAGACTAAGACTAAAAGCGCCTCTTCCAAAGATGAAGAGAGTTCTGTAAGACAATACATGCAGTGACGACACACAACGTCGTCGTTGTACGCACCCCCATCCGGCACCACAAACGTCTGGTATATTATCACTATATGATACTTAGTGACCCAAGAAGACGTGCTCGGGATAAAGTCGGAATCACCACCGGATTCTGTTTCTAGAGATTTGATTATAAAAAGGATTTCCCCCATATTTATTGTGTACATCCTTCAGTCTGCTTCCCGGAAGTACCCTGAGTCAGGTTCGCTTAACCATAGCCTGTCACGATATCGCTGGTTCTTTGTCACGTACATGTGACTTTTCCACGTACATGTTTCTTTAAAGGACAAGGGGGCGGTAGGGTAGCCTAATGGTTAAAGCATCCGCTCGTCACGCTGAAGATCAGGGTTCGATTCCCCACAAGGCTACAATGTATTAAGTCCATTTCTGGTGTCCCCCGCCGTGATATTGCTGGAATATTGCTAAAAGCGGTGTAAAACCATACTCACTCACTCAGCGCTAATTAACATATGGTAATTACGTGGGCTAATTACAGATTGAGTATTCTTTCCCTTTAAGTGCAATTCCAACTATTAATATAACGGTAAATATATATACAGTGGAAGTGGCACCCCTCCAATCCGGCATGCTCTCAATATCGGCACTAGAATTTGGTCCCGGCAGAAGCTTGTTAATTTATGATCATTTACATGCCTCTAATCCGGTGTTAGTCTATTCCGTATTTCGGCATAGCAAAGACCAATTGACTGCTTGCCGATCTCAACGAAGGCCGGCTTAGAGGGCTTCCTCTGTAGTTGGTAGGCCCCTGTCCTTCAGAAAACGCGTCCCGGCGTTCTACATATTGTCAACGCGTGGTATACGTGTCGACTGGGGTATTAGCTCATGTTTAAGATGAGGTGTACGTACAATACGTTGACAAGACGAAGGAATACGTTGAGTTCAAACTTCTTTAGTTACATGACAAACAAATACAAAAGACATACATAACGTGAGCGGAGTACCTGCTCAACCCGACGTTTCCTACAAGCGGCATTCTCCTGCTCGTGGTCGTCCCAACAGACATTCCAAATACCGAACTCGTACTCCTTCACTGTCTAGATGTGAGCATACTAAGTATATATACAGTTTTTGACAACAATGGACAGGCGACGACTCATCAATGGACAGACAGAAAAGCAATAGCACTTCCTTGACCAGTTGATGTGCTGGCAGACACGGCCAAGGGGGATTACCAATGAAGGTTATTATACAATAATTAATTGCCTGACAAGTCAATGTACAATGCGGAAGTGATAAGGATTTACAGTAGTGATTAAGATTACAGGTTAGCGTCATATATATATTACAATAAAGTCTCACATGTCTTGAGTACATAGTTTAGGACTTTTTAAATATTTGGACGATGGCTGTCCTGAATTAGTCCCTATAGCAATAGGATTAGGTCTTGTCATATCATGATCATTTCTTCCTGAAAAACGACACAAGGATTTTAAGGCGTAATATGCATCCATCAGAGATGTATTCAATTTAAGGACTCTTGTTATATCTATGTGATGATATTACAGTCTTGACTGAAACTTATAAACCATTTCATATATACAATTTCTTTAATGTTTCTGACGCATTATTTCTACGTCGACAGCTGAAGATACGTCAACGCTTGGGCAGGATTCTAACGTCTCCAACTGTAGAATGTCCTGTATCCTTCTGAATCATAATGATTGAGTACACATGGTGACACATACATGTTCCTACATTTTACTCTCTGAGATGAGGTGATCAACAGCATGCATCTTCATCGCAGTCATGGCTTCAGTTGTCAAATAAAATGCTATGGAATGAATTTCGTAAAGAAACAGAAAAAGCAGCATTACCTGAGTTCCTCGATTATTTGAACATCATCCAGGCAGTCTGTTTTGTCAGGCACTGATCAGATACTGAGGTCCGGGGCCTCTTCTAAGAACAGCCGCGCGATAAACTATAAGGAGCAATCTGGAAATAAGCAATTTCCAAGAAATGAGATCAGATTATTGCAGGGGTCCAACTACTAGGCTGCAAGTGTTTCGAGAGGCTAGCTAGTTTGAGTTCATTGTTAGATCTCACAGTACTCCAGTGGGGCAGATAATACAAGATGGCATGATGACGAGACAAGTTAGACCAAGATGATATAAACAATGATATCAGTAAGACCGAGGACAATGCAGTCCATCTTGGAACATTGTGAGACCATCGAGGACCACATAAACCGTCTTGGATCATGGTGGGTCGGTCATTCGAGGACCATCCAGACTGTCCTCGACCAGGGTGGGTCATTCGAGGACTATACAGGCCATAAAGACCAGGCTAAGTCCTTCGAGGACCACATAGACCGCCATGGACCAGGTTGAGTCCTTTAAGGACCAGATTGACCGTCAGGGACCAGGTTGAGTCCTTTGAGGACCACATAGACCGCCATGGACCAGGTTGAGTCCTTCAAGAACCAGATTGACCGTCGCGGACCGGGTTGAGTCCTTTGAGAACCTTATAGACCGTCACGGACCAAGTTGAGTCCTTCGAGGACCTTATAGACCGCCATGGACCAGGGTGAGTCCTTCGAGGAGTCACATACACCGTCCCGGAACAGGGTGAGTCCTTCGAGAACTCTATACACAGTCATGGAAAAGGGTGAGTCCTTCCAAGACCATGAATGACGGGAAAGACCATGCAGCCCCATATCAGGACAATAGTGGAGACAATGCTTACAAAGAGGATATAACCACTTGTCAGCGCAAGTTCAGACATCGTGAAATGAGAACCCAGAAGAAGGTCAGATGTGTTATTTACTCTTTAAGATGTTTGGAGACAACAAGGTCAGTTAATGGTTGTGTAAATGTCAGACTTTACGCTAACAAATATGGTCTGTTCTGTATGATCCTACAGAACATATTATATCAACGAATCGTTTGGATCTCATTCATGAAGCTGTCTTTGTATCAACAATGCTAATGGCGACATATTGGAATCAAATTTCGAGGAAATATAGCTCAATACTGATCAACGAATGTATGGGAAATGTGAGCAAAGCCTTTCATCGACAATTTACATCCATTTCACACATTCTGTGTTGATAAGTAATACTGAATAGATAGATATGTATATGTGTCGTTCGCCGTGTTTCATTGTTTTGATATCAACGACTGAAGTAGAAGCCGTATTAGGATTTGATTTCCTGAAACTATCAATATAGGTCAACGTATGTGTATGATGTACTTACTGAGTACATCTTTTCATACATCCCTCAATTACACATACTGATGATGATAAATGTAGAAAAATGATCAGTTTGAAAAATGATCTTCATTTATATCATCCAGGTTTTAATACGAAAACCGATAAGGGACCGTTCATAATTTGATGACGATATTCGTGGAATAGCATGTACAATGCGATTTATCAGACAGCCGAACTGCGAATTTGAACCGCAAGTAGTCAACCAGTACGATTTACATTCGGCGCTGCTCCTGATCGCACACCTGTTATCCAGGGCCGAGCGTTCCCGCTGAAACCACGATGTCTTCCGAATGCACATGCTATTAATATCCTACTTCCGGGAACTGCAAAACGAAAATACGTTCGCCGAAGACTTATGTGTTATGTGAATTCAATAGCCACACGAAGCCTGCTTGCTTAGATAATATGATCGAATGGTCTAAATTTGGACTCAGTTTACAAACAAGTGTCACAGTATGTATTTAAATGTGGTTGTCCAATGTCAGCTCAAATTAGAGAGTCGGGATCTGAAGTTGAGGTTGTGACTCAGAGAGCTGAGAAAACCCTACGTGGGACGGGATCAAGCAGTTATTTCTTCCGCCAACGCAAGATAATCACCTAACGTGGAGTTGAATATAGGTAAGTTGTAGTGTACAGGTATATTAATCTAATCTGTTTAAGGCAGTGACGTAGGTTGATATAGGGGCCATCCTCGCTTAGAGGCGAGGTGAATAGTAAGCTATTGTACGATGTGTAAAACGTGGGTTTTGTATATGAGGGTATACGCACACCAGTTGCTGTCAAACAATTCATGTCAAAGCAGTGACGCAGGTAGAACTTGCTGAGATCAATCAGTTGTGATAAAAGGGCCAATAAGGTGATGTGTGTCCAATATATCCGGAGGTTCGAGCGAGGGAATTATCATATAGAAATACCATAAATTCGATTTTGCCTCAGAACATTATTTCAGTTGTCGTCCAATATAGGTATAGCTAATACGGACCCGTTGTACAGTAAACAACGTATATAACGAATACGGCGTATCACGAACTACGGATGTAACGAACTAACCCTTACGTCTCAACCACTTGTATATCTTGATCAAAATGCGCATAACCAACTAATAATAATCAGATTCTGATCACAACGTCCAGTGAGCAACTAGTCAGATGGATACTAGGCGCTATATAAATGAATTATTATTGTTTTTGTGTTTTAAACTTACTGGTCCAATTAAGTTCGCTATGGCGGTAGTCGTCTGTAGATCCTCTGTATGTTTCAAAGCATGTCGAATAGAAAGGGACCTGCAATTTGTTAGATGAGTCGGGTATGATTAATAGAAGGGAGCGTGAAAAACGATAGCGAACGTGCAGTCGGGGGAAGGTGACTAGAGCGACAAAAGTCATCAGAACTATTTGGGGAGGGGCCTTGAAATTAATAACTAAGTTTGTAGATCGACATAAAAAATGATAATTGATGTCATCGCTTCATCTCACTTCCACGGGGTTTTTGAAATATACAAGGGATACACACTAAACTTCGGTTGTAACGAACTCTGTGTATGTTGTGTGTTTCATATCCGTTATAGTTTAGTTCGTTATATTCATTTTGACTAAAATTTGAAATAAACAGCAAGTGTTTTGGGGTTTTTTTTGTATGGTGTTTATTTATTTATTATACTGTATTAGGGGCCATAAAGGATACTTAAAATATAGAAGACAACTAACATAGTACAGCAACACAAGTGCATGTATTTGTACGAGTTACTTCCCATGCTGGAACATCCGGATATAGACAATGTGTAGTAACAGGCCGAAAGTGCAGTCACATTCGATACGGCTCTTACTCACACAATATTCCTTGTTCATGATTATATCCGGGTGGTAAATGATTAAAAAGGCTTTAACATCATGACATTAAAACATTAATAATGTGCAAATTATTGCTTAAATTTTGTTTGTAACGCAGTAATTTTCTTATATTTCAGTTTTTAATGTGCCTTTGTTAGCGAGGACATAGGGTCAATCAGTGAGGGGATTATGGGGGAAAATTGTGTGCATGAGGTACTAATTATGTACATGTATGTCTTATTGTTTAAGTTCCTATTTTTATTATTAACTTTTAAGGATTACATAAATGGAAAAATACCCGTTTGGGGGTGTATACATTATAATTTAATGGCCTGTTATAGTTACATATGTCAACATGCAGAATAGTTAATACGTTTTGAAGAGTTATGCACAAATATGAATAATTAAATTATCTGTTTGGGGTCAAGGACATGAATAAAATTAATACATTAATATTTTTTATTTTTTTTATTTTTTTTATTATTATTTTTTTTTTGGGGGGGAGGGGGGATATTATGAATATAATGACTTCTTATTGTCAGATTTAATGGTATTTGAGTGCAATATATTATCTGTTTTTAATTTAACATAAAAACCAATAATATATTATGAATCTGTGACAGTACGGTTATATACATTATAGCTAAAGTACATGAGTTGTTTATGATTATATTCGTACATATTGAAGCTAACATAAATGAACGTTCGGGTCTAAGCATGTATGTGGTGCACATAATACGTGAATGAAATACTTTTGATTAAGTAAACAAATAAACGAAATATACAAACTGTTTAGGGTTTATGTACGTGAAAAAATAACTTAGTTTCCGTTTTGCGGAAACCTAACGGATACTGGGTAATGTAGGTTTCCGCTAGGTTTCAGTATCCGGAAACAGACAATGCGAGTTTCCGCATAGTTTACAAAACTGAAACTAACAAATCTAGGTTTCCGTCAAGTTTCTACAACTGAAACTATCATTATGCGTTTCCATTTAGTTTCAGTTCGCTGAAACATTCAAAGAGAAATGACTTTGTTTCCGCTATTGCGGAAACCTATTGAATACTGGGTAATGTAGGTTTCCGCTAGGTTTCTGTTGGTTTCAGCTTAGATGAAATGGCAAACTTATAATTAGCTTTGTGCTGTTCCATTGGGGACTATATTTACTTATTGTTACATTTGCAAGATAATTTCTGTTTACAGAATCCAGTTAGGGTCAATGCAGGAAGCAAAAGTACTGTTCGTGCCGTAGTCCCTAGTATGTTGATCAACCTTCAGGTGTTGGCAATCTATAGCTCATTTTATACTGTACCGGTAAAGTGTTTATGGTTACATGCCAGTTTTTAGTGTACATTTGTGATAGATTAGTTATTTTACTGTCCTTCGAAGACAGGTAAGTATATAAGTTTGTTTTTATTTCATGTACACATTTACAAATTTAGAGTTACGACTTTCATAGTCACGATATGGCTACCGATGTGACTATGCAACTCACTCACTACCATTCTGCATAACTTGTGAATGTACAATTTATTACATTGTACCCGAAAAACAACAAACACAGTGACACATGCACTGTTATGATTCATCTGTTTCATTATTGTGAATAGCTCACATTTCAACAGTACTCAACAATGTGTGTGTGTGTGTGTGTGTGTGTGTGTGTCTGTGTCTGTCTGTCTGTCTGTCTGTCTGTCTGTCTGTCTGTATGCATGCATGCCCATATCAAAAGGGAATTTTCAGCATTGGAGAAAACAAATTCTGTATGAATATGCAAATACAAATATGTCAAAACCCTACAACATTTTATGCATATGATGAAATGAGGTCTACTAGTGCAGGCATAACATATTTGCTGTGGTATTTATAAAACAGATTTCAAATTCAAATTCAAATGTTTATTGTATGAAGGTCATGGGCCCATATACATATACATGAAGTGTACATTTGAAGCTGTCTCAATGTATCTTAACATATACACACTAACAATCTCACATAGTAAAGACTTGGCAACTTGCTTACAACCATGAAGCTTCTGTTGCACTCACACTGAGCAGCCAACAATCCTCTGATGTGGTACATATGACGCAGAGCCTTGAGTTGAGCCTGAGTTTTGCCACACAGAAAGAGAAATATAACCAAGTTGATTACAACAAGGCTTGAACCAGTCCACAACCGCAAACAGATGGTGTATGCTCTACTTAAGATTTGTGGGTGAATATGAAGAGTCCTGGTTGATGTCTGGCACAACATCGTTGCCATCCTTATCATCCCACACAGACTCTTCATCATCCTGCAAATACAATACATACAATGCTTAGTAAAACTGCAAAACAGCCAAAGTAACACATTTATACATATTCATAAACATGCACAGTGGTACATCTGATCACAATGAAATTATATAATTAGAACGACTAATTTGTATATGTAACCAAAATATTTTTTCACAATCACAAAGGAAAGATATGTAGTATACATGTATATTGTATCTTCCATTTGACATGTCACTTATTTTATTGATTGGTACCAGAAAATAGCAGCCAACCCAGTATTCTGAAGCAAATTGTTGTAATATTTTTATTACTGTTACTGTACTCATATTCAAGGTAACATCTACTACCAAATCGCCAATTGAAATCGAAGCATATGTAAAACGGTACATACATATTTTAAATAGATACGAATTATGTTTAAACACTGAATGTAACACATAATTATATATGTGATCTTATTCAAATTGAAATGACCAACTCAACTGAGAAAAGCATACAAAACCTAACATTTCCCATGAATGAAAAATCATTGGGTATTTCTTAGTTTTATCAACTCTCTAAGGAAACATTCCCAGCAATATAGTAACATAAAATATTATTTTTTTATGTGACCTTTAATTTAAAAACTGTAAAATGTGTAACACAACTTATTCACTTTCAGTTACAGTTACATATCTGGTATACAATAATTACACTCTTGCTCGACAACGGTATAAGAATCCATACCGAAACGTCGCATCATATATAATAAAGAAGTTGTTATCCATAAACTCTCTTACTTTCTTATTTGTCACCAACTTCTAAATGCCAATCAAACAAATTACAATAATTAAATATATTCATTATTGATATATGATGGATAGCAATGGGATAGATCAAACTGAAGTCGTTAAATGAAACCTATGAAGTGAAGTATTTTGGACTAACCTGATGAGAAACTGCCGTCCATTTCAGACGATTCCTTGTTTCCTTGAAACAAACGACTGGCAGTGCGGACAGAAAACTGGGTCTTTTCTTGGAACTGAAAAACATATCAACATATCTTAACTTATGAAAGTGTAATCCCATATATAACATATGTTAAACTTATGGTTACACTGGAATCCACACTTACTATTACATTTTGAGTGATTATATTTTTCACAAAGATAAAAGAAATTTATTCTATGTATCTATTTAGTGTTTACTTGTTTTGACTAAATGCTGATGAATAAAAATATTGTTTTAAGATTTCCTTTAATGAAATTAGGAGCATGGTATGGTGTAACTATAAATGATTACCAAGCCAAGCCTCTTGTCAATCTCCAACAAGTCAGTGGATCCACAATACGTATCTGTAAATCAAATAATTGAAACAATGATTCTTTTAGAAATGTTATACGTGACTTGTGTCAATGCATTGTAAGGCTAAGAGGTTCAATAATTGATTACCTAAATTATTACACAAAGCTATGAGTGTAAAGTATATGTTATAATTGTTTTAATGGTAATAAAATGATAAAAAGATGTACTGGT